GAGAGAGAGAGAGAGAGAGAGAGAGAGAGACCTGCCTCTCCAGGGATGAACAGAGGAAGTTCCCAGAATCCTCATGAGAAGGCCAAGCTCACCAGGAGGCATCAGGCTGTGACCTGATTGACAGGTTAGGCTCCACCCCTTCACTCTTAATATCCTCAAGTTGACACGAGGTTATGTCACTACCACAGGGGATAATTGATTATTTCCTATAATCTTCTTGAGCTATGTGTTGGTGGTGCTGTCTATAGCTGTCTAGGGGGTTTTCATTTTGCTTTCTTCTTGGAAGCACATTGAAATAAAGACCTGGTGATCTTTTGAAAAATCAGCCACTGAAAACCATACGGAGCACAATTTGACTCTGAGACAATTGGGGCCTCTCTGCTTAACACCACAGCAACTGGAACCAACAATACTGGTGCTTCACCCTTTTTGAAATCAAGGAAATTCAGGGATGTTAAAAAATGAAGCCATATGTCTCCATATTTATTTTCAGGTAAAAAATGAAACTGTCATGAAAATATCTGAGCTTATTTTGTTTAACTTGATATTTGTGTGGTGTTTTAGATGTTAAAGGGAAGGAAAGAATGATTTGGGTTGAAAATCAGAGGTCAGTGGTGAAAGGCAAAATGTTCGGAGTGCCTTCTCTCACGCTTGCAAGTAAAGAAGCAGCTCTAGTGGGTCAGGGTCTGAGCGTGAGAGATAAGGATATTGATCTCTATAAAGGATAAAGCCCATTTCTGTGAAAATGGGATCGGGCCAGATAAACCACATAGTCCGTGGAGATGGAGCAGTAGTTCTCTCTTTTCTGACTTTGGGTGGAGCATGAAGTTGATCACACTCTGCTAGGTCACATCATGGGAGTTACTAGATCTTAATTGCCAAATCACTGAGAACTTTCCTGGTCCAATTCAGTTGACCTAAAAGTCCACTATGAAAATACTCGCTACGTGATTTACTATGAAAACAGTAGTATTCCTTTCCACTGACTTTGGATTTGGGTATATGAATGGCTTTGACCAATGGAATGTGCGTGGACTTGTCAGGCTGCATTGGAGAAACTTTAGAGGCTTTGCATGTGCCTGCCAGCCCTTTTGGTCTTTTTGTCTGCCATGAGAATGTTTAAGATTCCATGCAAGGATTGTCTCTTCATCCTGAGCCCTAGAATGAGAAACCCGTGGAGCAGAACTCAGCTGACTCACAGCATTTAATACAAATAAGAAATAAACTTTGGTTGGTATAATCCTTTGACGTTCTGGTACTGCAGTTTTATAGTAAAATCTACTACTACATTGTGATCTTTTTTTCTCCCCTTTTCTTTTAGCTCTTTAGGAGCTCATGAAATCCAGCTATTACAAATGCAAAGTCCTAACTTACAAGACTGTAATCGCTGCCATGAGCTTCACAAGCCTATTAAATGTATGAGGATTACTTTCTTCTTTCTTGTAAGACAGGGAAAGAAATGCCCTAGTGGTTTCTCATAAGTATCCGGCCAGGAGTAGAGTACCAGGAAATGTATGTGCGCATGAGTGTGTGAGTGGGGGTGGGCCAACTCAGTTAATATTTCGTTTTTTATCCTGACATAAAAAAAGGTATCAAACAGTCATACCAAAAAATTGAAAACACCAAGGCATGTATCCATTGTACATTCAAGGAATTTAGAAGAAAAATGGGGTGTTTTAATTTCTTAATGCTGTTATGAAAGAACCACCATAAATGGGTGGTTTTAACGAACAGACATTTACTCGTTCCCATTTAGGAGGCTGTGAGTAAGAGGTCAGGGCACTTGCTCTCAGGGGAGGCTTTCTGGGTCTGCTGCCTCTGGGAAAAGGATCTTGTCTTTTTAAAGTGTCAGCTCCGCAGCGACTTGCTGATTTGCACGTGGCCTGCATCTCTTCCTTCTTTCTTCTATGCATCTTCTTTCTTCTATGCCTGCGCTGCTCCTTTTCTGTCTCAAAAACCGAGTGGTCGAAGACACACCCTCCACTGATTGACCGGAGTCTCAATACTGTGACCCTGTTCTTCCTAAAGGCAGAAAATGTCATTTTTCTTATGGGGTGTCATTAACAGAACAAAACCCTGTCCCAAGGACATCGTCACATGGATAGGGGTTATATACTCTCTTACGTACTCGTCTTACATACCTGGGACATGCTGTCAGGAGAGACAGGTCCCTGGAAAAGGACCTCATGCTTGGTAGAGAGACAGCAAAAAAGAGGGCGGTCCTCAACGAGACGAATTAACACAGCGGCTCAAACACAAGAACAAATGTGAGGATGACATAGGACCAGGAAGCGTTAGGTTATACAGCACGTATGTTGAGGAGACACAATTCAGTCCGTAGCATTCGATAGATCTTAAGTGATTACAATACAATATGTTTTAAGTGTGCCCTCAAAGGTACAGAGAACGGACCTCATGAAAGAAGAGGCTTCAGGGTTAGGAAATGTAGAGTGGCGAGAAAGGGCATTACAAGTTCAAGATAAAGACTGAACTAAACCAAGAGGCAGGGAACTAAGAAGCATGAATGGGCCCCAGTGACTACATGGTTTGATGCTTGGACAACGGGTAGAAAGTCAGGCTGGGAAGGACTAAGTGGTTGTCCTGGCTAAAGAAGAGGGAAGGGGATTTCAGCAGCATTACTGTTTTTAAAACTTTTAAATTTGTGGTCATTTAAGATTTTGACAATGAATAAGGAAGACTGAGAAGAATGAATGCTTTTCAATTGTGGTATTGGTGGAAAGTATTGTACTGTGAGTTGCCAGGAGACAAACGAATCTGTCTTGGAAGTTGTACAGCCAGAATGCTCTTTAGGAGCGAGGATGTCGACTTCACCTCATGGACATTGATCGGACGTATAATCTGGGGGACCACCATGCTGGGTAAAGTAGGAGGACATCGGGAAGACACTGTGGTTGGTAAAAGTAACAGATCAACAAAAAAGGGGAAGAATCTCACAGAAATGGATGGATGTTGGCTGCAACTATGGGTTCAAATGTAACAAAAAATTGTGAGGATGGCACAGGACCTGCTCGTGTTTCGTTCTGATTATGTGTATGGATGTATATGTATATGTATGTCACTATGAGTCCAAATCGAACCCAGAGCACCTAGCAACGACATCTCCATTCACTCTATTGCAAGGAAGAGGCCAGGAGTGCTTGTATAGACACGATTTTGTGAGATGGAAGACGACTAAACAGGCAACCTTGCTCTTTCCCCTCCACTCTGGGGTAAGGATGGCAAGAGGGTGCAGTGTGTCGTGTGCAGTTTTAAGTACTGTGGCAGCAGGTTAAAGAATCCTGGGCATTTGCAAAATTCCACCCAACCACCCTAGCCGACCACCAGCAAACGGGAGGACGGAGTTGCAATGCAAAGACGTGGCTCCCATGACAAGGACTCCAAGTTGCGAGAGCTTTATCCGCGCTCCGGCTAAAGGGTGCGGGATGCCTTTGGGCGCGTCCTGCTTTTGACAGGTGCCTTGGTCCTCGCGGGGGCTGCACACCAGCGCGCCGCTCACAGTCGCCGGTCCGGGATGCGGGAGCCCCGCCGCCCGGGCCTGCTCGGCCGGCACATGCGCAGTGGCGACGCCGTCCCAGCGCCCAGTCTCC